AATCGGCCGATTTATCGATTTTTAAAATAATCGTTAGTTGCAGCCCTAAAAAAAATAATCAGCATCAAACATCAGAGATCGGTTAGACAGACGTCAAAACATCAGAACGCTATCCTCGCCCTGAACTCGTTTTTAACAGATAATGACATAGCTGCAGTTAACAGACTTTTTATTATTTTCCTTATTTATTGAGAAAAAACTGACCCCTGACCATCGCCTTCTTTTTAACCATCGGAAAACCTAAAGATAATATTTTATTAGCTTATTAAAATCACAAACTAGTCGGTTAAATCACACAAACATCCCCATAAATCACTAAACAGTACAAACACATAAAAACCAGACAGTTTTTAAGTTTTTTCTCAGCCTAATAATAGCTGCAGCTTTTAAATTCATTTTGAAGCAATAAAACATCTGAAGTTTAGACATCTGAACTTATTTTGAATCTTTTTTCAATCTTAGAACCTAATTATAACTAAGAGCTGTTAACAGGCTGAAGTCTGGAAAAAACGGACATTCATTATGTACTTTCTTCATGAACGCAAAGCGCGGGTCCAACCTTAGGCTTGGCTTTTGGTTCGCCGGGCGTCTCGTCGCTCTCCGGCTGCTCAGCCTGCGGCTCTCCAGCCTTGTTGAGAGGAGAATAATCTTCCAGCAACGTATCAAACAGAACAATCCGCTTGTTCTTGAAGAAGCCGTAGAAGTAAGCATTGCTGTGAGAAGAACGCTTGGAACCTGGATGGAAAGAATAAAAAGTTTTTCCTCCCACCAACCCCAGATCACAGCTTGCACAATTTAAAAAGACACAACCAGGCTCTTACCTTCAACCACGTAAAGTTTAGTGAGGGGGAAGCTGATGCTTTTGGCCATGTCTTCTATCGCCGTCTTTAACTCTCCGTCCGGCAGCGGGGTAAACTTGTCAAACAGCGGAGCGATGTAGTCGGCATAGATGGTCACCAGGACCTTCCAACACCAGAGAAAAACAGCAGAGAGACGAGTTACTGAACAAAACTCAACACGTATATCAAAATGTTTAAGAATGTGTGTATTTAGCCCCCTTTACTTCGAGGCAGCTAAATAAAAGCTGTTATAACAACCTGCTTTCAGAACTCATCTTTAGACCTAAAGAAGCCGTTTCTAGTTCCTGGTGTGTGAGTATAAACCTGATCCCTTCATGTGGTTTGAGCGGTGGCGTGTTTTTTGAACATTCGGGTTGACACACTGATTTAGACTTTGTTCGACCATCGGTGGCGGCGGGGAAGCCTACGNATGTGGTTTGAGCGGTGGCGTGTTTTTTGAACATTCGGGTTGACACACTGATTTAGACTTTGTTCGACCATCGGTGGCGGCGGGGAAGCCTACGCAGGCGCAGGCAGACGTTAGAAACGCAGAGCGTGCGGCTGATGGGAGATCAAACAGTTATTACTGCTCTCTTTGGGTCGGTGGCGATGCTCGACCATAAACTGTTTATTCATCTTACCTGCTGCCTCAGAGCGCCGCTCCTATTTTTCACCTTTAGGTTGGCTTCAAATTAGGGCTGAAACTAATGATTATTTTGCACATCGATTCATTTGCCGTTTATTTTTTCGAATTATCAATTAATAACCGGATTGCCAAAGGTTCCTAAAGAAGAAAAAGCTTAAATTAAAACTTTTCCACTTGAGGAGGCTGGATAGAGCATATTGATGGAAAATATATATATATATATATATATATATATATATATATTTTTTTTTTTATCTTAAATGCAAAATGTTCATATATTTCTTTTTATAATTTTGGTATAATTACTGCTCTAAGCGAGTCATTCTGTCAGCTAAAGGCCTGTTTCTATACTCCAGTTAACGCTTAACGGATTACTAAATTAGACGACAGTTATTTCAATAATCGATTAATTACAGGTGAGCACCTCCAGGTTATCTCCCAGTCTGGAGATCAGCTGTTTCCATTCAGCTAAAATGTAAAGCTCTCAAAAATAAATAATTGTAAAAAAAGGAAATGCAAATCTGTGGTGTTTCCAGTTGGTTTGACCGAGCAACACAAAGCGTCATGTGGTTGCATAGCGTCATCCATGTTGTGTTGTTACACATGGC